ATGATAATAATGGAGACTATTTACTCGTGTACATATAGTTATCTGCTGTTTCGCAATCACACTACACCAAGCATTCCCTTGTATCCAATCAATTTTTTAATCAGCATTCGCTATGCGGTCTTCCTTTTACTTTCGAGACTGAAAAACTGGTTTGTGTAACGGTGAAAATATTCCGCATGCAGTCCCATTATTTTCTTTCATTATACATAAACTGTGAGAAACTGGCTTATAATTATCTCGCTGATTTTTTTTTAACCATACTCAGACTTCGAGAAACTGGCTTATAATCATCTTGCTGATTTTTTTAACCATACCCAGACTTCGAGAAACTGGCTTATACGAAGGTCTAATCACCAACGAGGTGTACCGGCATGACCAGCCTGTAGCGTCCGATGCAACTACTGAGTTTCTCGGTCATCCCAGTACGCTTTTACCAGCCTTTTACCAGAGGAATGCGACAGTCATGGGTCAGTACTTCCCACAGCTCCCATTGACGTTTGTGCCAGGTACACATATACCTTTTAAGGTGGATTTGTATGTGGTTCATGGGTATGTATGTACAGGTAAAATCAAATGCATATGTATGTGATTTATGTATAGGTATGTGCCTTATTCATAGGCATGCGCTTTCTACTAGAGGATTGCGACGGTTATGTGACAGTACTTGCCTCAGCTCTCATTGACGTTTGTGCCAGGTATGAATGTACTTATGAAGTGTACGTGTAGGTGAGATATATATATATACTAGATAAAGTATATTAATTCGATCCATATGTATGTGCTTGTCAGATGTAGCTGTGTGTGGTTTATGTAGGTGTATTACTTGGAATGTATATGAACTTGCTATGTGAAATCTAGATATACTTGGGTCCGTATATGTGTGTTTGTTAGTTGTACAGATACTTGATTTATATAAGTACACTTGCTGCGTGAAAATTGATGTATATATGTTGCCCCGGCATCCGCCTTCCATACCTTCTGTCGGGCTGAAATCTACTACAGTTTCTATGGATATGTGTGTTCAGAGGGTCTAAGCCTTGTTGAGAGTAACACAACCCAGTGGCACATCACTTTGATAAGGAACTGGCAATACACACACACACACACACATATATATATATATATATAACAACACAACGAACAACGGAGGAACGTGTGCTAAACACGGCCATATCTGACCAATAACTATTCTAGTAGGCGATATACATCTGCTATTAATTATACACATACACCTGTTTCAATGCACCAACGACGATGAAAGGTATATAAACTAGTTACATGGCCATTGTCAGATCAACAATAAAGTATCACGCAAATGAATTCACGTCTCAATAACACACACACACACACACACATATATATATATCAATAAATACAGCCACGACGATGATTGGGATACAGACTATCCAAATGGCCATGGTACGAGCCGGTTGCACAAACGTCTCCAACCCGGCATTAGCGGAATGTGTGCACAGAGGAATAAACAGTCCGTGTGCTGCGAATGAGACTGCATGCCCCGCATTGGGTGTACAAAGACTTGACGTGGAGACGTGGTTTGGCCGGGTTAGATGTAAGCGTGTGTATACGTGTACGTATGAATGTAGCGGTGATATTTGGAAGTGTGCAAGTCGTATATATCTGGTGATG